TTGCTCTGTTTAATGCAGATTTGTTTTCCTGTAATTCTGTCATCACATGTGGTTGTTAATTCTTCTAAGTGTCATTGAAATCAGAGCTGTATTTGGCCTATGTCATTTACAACTCAGAGAGGGAGCAAGTAGAACCCTCTAAAAATGATACCAGCACATGAGCTGTTGGATTTTATTTTTGTCGTTTCTCTGTAGGTAGATCCAGGCTAATCCTTTGCCCAAGTCTAGGGTAAAGAAGGGTTTTTCTCCTAATTACGTGAGATGTGAGTACACGTAAACAAACTTTCCATGAGTTGAATGCCATAAACCCAATAGAACTCTCTCTCTCAAACCTCCATCATGAATTAACTTTTGGACTAATAGCAGGAACAAGAAAAGTCTCTAAAAAGCATCTCAATCCTCTCCATCTGAATATCTGTGACATGTGTCAATCTTCTGAGAATTATTATTCTAAGAATTATTACAGTTGATTAATTACAGAATTGATCTTAAACTGAATTCTATGCCATGGATAACAAAATCCATGCTGCGTAATGAAATTCAGGAAACTAAGGAGCTATCTGAGATGGAATGCTTGCCTTTGGTTGGCAGTGTTGACTCTGATGAAGTTTTAGGAAATAATATTACAATATTGTTTTGTCTGTTGCTGCCTTGGGAAATGGTAGTGAAAATGTCTTGAAGAACTGTCTAAAATGTATTGTGGCCCACGTTAGTGAGGTTAAGAGAAAGTTAGCTCAGAAAAGTGTAAGAGCACTGGACAATCGGAGAACAATCAGATAGAAGCACTGTGTATTGGTTGTTGTCTATACCTGTAGTCTGGAGACACAGGAATGAAAATAATCTGTTTTCTCATTTCCAAATTATCCTACACATGTGGAGGGGGTGGGAGCAAATGATTCCTTCTGAAGAATATGCATTTGTTTTTGCTTTATTTTGCTTTGAAAACTTTCAGGCCCAGAAAGCTAGATTGTCTTGCCCTGTTTTAGTCCTAAGCAAGTGAAGAATAAACTGTCCTAGAACATTTGTATGATCTAGCATTACCACATTGCACTGAGCATGAAAATAAATCAGAAGTCCTCAAACAATGAGTATTACTGATTAGGGAAAATATTTCCTCACCAGAACTCAAAATTATAAATTATATTTTAGAAAATGAGTTTTCTGTGACGTTTCTACCACTTTGTATTTCTCTGTTGTAATATTTCAGCATTTAACCTCTAACGCATTTTATGTATTAATTAGCAATTAACATGTGTTGATTCTTAGAACTTTGTGAAATACAAAGGCGTCATCCTTTCAGATGCTCATATTTATTAAAATTTTTAGCCTTCTAAACTGACAACGAAGTGTTTTTGGGTTGAGGATAAGCCTAGAGAGAGGTTTCCTGATTTCTCGATTGTAGGCTGCATCATTTCTTCTTTCGAATGGTGCCATTCATCACTGGTAGATCTTGATGGGACATCGACAAAACCTAAATGGTTTAGGTTAGTGGGGTGAATCTGAGAGGTCAAAGGAACCCAAGATTGTAAAACATAATGGAGCCTTCGTGATGAATAATTTTAATTCACACGTGACTTAGAATGATATTCTGTACTCAGTAAATATCTTGTTGACTACTATGTTGATTGTTAATTTCTAATCTTCATGCCCCCCCCATCTAATGTCTTATTCCAACTTTCCTCCTCAACCTCATTTTTCTGGAAACCTTCCCATCTCTTTATTCTGTTCACCCGCCCCCTCACTTTTTTATTAATGCTTCTTTAAAACTCTCTGCAGTGCCCAGATACTGCCCTATAAGACAGAGGGAAAAAAATAAGTACCTGATTTTTATTCTGCCTTTTGTTCACCTAATCTCCTTCTCTAAGCTGCTCAGTCATTTCCTGTATTTAAGACCTACCTCTTTCATCTCTTTCTTTATGACAATCCTCTTTTGTGAGCAAATGGTCACGCCATCCATTCTTTTCTAATAAGAATTCCACGTTTGCCTTACCTTGCAGATTGTTTAGGCCACTGGCTTTACGTTGCCCACCTTGAGCATTGCAGGACCCTGACTGCAGGGATAGTGAAGTGTTCCTTTGTCCTCTGCCATGGGCCCACACAGAATGCACCAGCCATGAGCTCCCTGGGGGCTGGGATTAGGGGATATCTTGTTCACTGTTGTGTCCCTGTTATGACTGGCACAAAGTGGGTACTCAGTGAATATTTGCTGAATTAACACACAATTATGGCATTTGCATTAGTTTCAGATAGGATAATGAAACTTTTAACTAAGTAGAAAAGTTTGGATTTGTTGCATATCTATGGAAAATATCTCACTTGACTATACAGATTCTGATCATAGCTAATTATGGGTACTACCCAGTATGATATCTATTCATTTAAATCAGCTGATTGAAAAGAATGAAAACTTTTAAAAACATGCTGAAACTAAGCAAATGTTAACTGAACTTTTAAGTATAAAGTAAATCTCTGCATCTTTTAGTAGTTATTTATTCTTAAGTACAAAATTTGGATTAAAAGTATTTTATGCAACCTCCTTGAAGGTAGAGTCTATGTTTTAAAGAATGTTGCATCCTCAGTGCCTATAAGAGTATTTAGCACATAGCACTTACCAAGAATTTGGCAGCAGGGACGAGGGGTAGTTTATGAGAACTGATTATTTCTGTTGAAGGCAATGAGTGATCATTAAATAAATAGTAAAAAGTATGTCAACCTTCAGATTTATCTAGGAATATTTTTTCTGCTGTCTCCAAACTCTGGCTATCCCTGGAACAAAAAGGAGAACACTTTCTCTAATACACAATGCTTTCTTTTAGTGCATATCATACCCAGAAAGGGTTGGGAATACTTTGAGCAGGTTTTCTAGCTGGTTTTATCCTATTTGATTATTGGCCCCTGAAGCCCAAATTTGGCACCCAGAGTAGAGGAAGCCAGTGGTGAACTCAGGCAGTGAGTGTTGGATCATGGTCCATGCCTTGGCAATGCCATTTCTCATTGAGATGTGTCATTACACTGTGGTTCTCAACAGAAGGAAAACCCTCTCTACCAATTTGAAGAAACTCTTCCAATTTAAAGAAACTTTCTGTAGATGTGTCCCAGAAATCAAATGTTTCAAGTTGTCAAATTATCAGCCTTAAGAGGGTTATCTTTAAAGGAAAAAAAGGTTATATTTTCAAGTGGCATATTCTTCTGAAATAAATATTTTTAGCTTTTCATCTTCTTTCATAGAGCAACTGTTATTCTGTGCAATTTATGAGCCTGGAAAGGATGGGTCATTTACCATTGATCTAATTACTATACAGGCCAGATTTACAGAGAAAAAAAATTCTTTCCTTTGAGTGCAGATGTCAGCTACGAGCAACTGACACACCAACTTCTGTTTTTACTCACAAAGGAGATTAGGCAAGGGAAAATAGAGAACACAGCATAAATTCAGTATTGGAAATTTAAAATGCACGTCCACTGGTAGTGGATCAGTAGTGAAACCTTTGTGCAAAACAGTACAGAAAGTGCCTTTAAATTTAACTAAAACATATTGCTTGTGTTTGCAAATTTCCTTATGATATCTGAGTCATGTCAGTCATATCTTAAAATGACAACTTTGATTTATGTGTAGTAAGAATAGTTATTTTGGGGATAAACTATCTCTTAGTTGCAAAGCACTATAAAAAAAAATCAAT